GAGGGGAGGGGCTTGAGACATGGGTTCTCTGTGTAGTCCTGGCTGTCCTGGAACTCACTCTGTATACCAGGCTGACCTCGAACTCACAGAGATCCACCTGCTTCTGTCTCTGGTGTACTGGGATTAAAGGAATGCACCACCACCACCACCACCACCTGGCACTCACTATTCAATTTGATAGGCTGAGAAATAGATGTCTAGGGCCCTTTGGGTGGATGGAAATGCCCTAGAGAAGAAAGCTAATCTATCATTCCAGGACTAAGAGGGAAGAAAAGGAGGTGGGAGGCTGGAGTCTGAGGTAGAGGTTGGATTATCTAGAGCCAGAAAATTCAAACTTAAGGAGAAGAGTGTTATTTATTGGTACCACTGGCTTTTATTGAATGCCCGTTGTGTATCAGGTACTAGACTTAACAACTTCTATTTTTTTTTGTATGTGACTTTTGTCTGCATGTATTTGTGTACCTGGTGCTTATGGAGGTCAGAAGAGGGCATTGGGTTCCCTGGAAATGGAGTTAGAAAAGGCTGTGAGCCTCCATGCAGATACTGGGAACTAAACCCATGTCCTCTGGAAGGGCAGCCAGTGCTCTTAACTGTTGAGCCATCTCTCCACAGGTACTAGACTTGTGATTACATAAAGAAAATTTAAAACATGTTTTTAGGGGGTCTGGAAGGGGGACTAGGAATAGTTTGATAACCTGTGACAATTTTTCAAATTTGCTTTTACCTCATGGGTTTGTTGCTTTTCTAGGAAAACAAGGATAGCACAGGCCTCAGTGGCCCCACTCGCCTCCTGACCTCTCACCAGGACAAGATTGGATGGGCTTCTGAGGGGCCAGAGCCGAGTGTAAGACACTGCTGCCTCACACCAAGCCCTTGGCTCCTCTTTTTGTTCCCAGGGGTGTCTCTTGGCCAGCGGTGGCAGGCTGTCCTACCTGTGACTAAGAAGCACACCCGAGACCACATCCTTCTGTTCAATGATGCTCACTTCCTGATGGCCTCCCTGGGTGCACAGGACCTCCAGACCACACGGGAGCTGCTGACTACCCTACAGGAGGCCAGCGAGTATGTGAGATCCTGAGACCATGAAGTCTGCCAGCCGAGAGGGTGAAGAAGTGCAAGGGCTGAGCCAAGGCCTGCTAGGGGTCACCCTGGCTTCTTGGGGAAACCTTAGAGTAAGGCCCTGCCATGACCACAGCTTTGAAGATATCCATGCTTCTAGGTGGGTGTCCCCGATGTGGGCACCCATGCAGGCATATATTTCATAGGTATCTGACTTCCAAGGGTCCAGTTGGTATCTTCCTTGCTCTGAGCCTCAGTTTCTTTATCTGTTGGAAATGGTGCCTTCTTGGCTGACAAGGGTGACCTGGGAAGACAGGTTGCCACAGAAACATTTTTTGGTACCCACAGTAGCACTGGCTGTTGGTACCCAGGCTTTGCCTGCAACGTCTGCATTCCTGATTTCTCTACTGTGCTGTTACACCACTTTCCAGACGGGCAAACTGAGGCTGGGAACAGGGAACCATGTCATCTCCCTACATTGGGCTGATGTTTATGCCTCCTGTTCCCATCAGAGTGCTATCAGGCAGCTGTGAAAGGCCCTAACTTTTCGTCCCTTGCCAGGGTGGGACTTTGTAGAAGTGGATGCTGAGCTTTGGTCTTGGTGACAGGTCCCCAGGGGAGAACTGCCAGCACCAATTGGCACAAGATGTGGGGCTACCCCTGTGCCAGGCCCTTGTGGAGGCTGAGAACGGGAATCCTGACCAAGTCCTAGAACTTCTCTTGCCAATCCGCTACCGAATCGTCCAGATTGGGGGTAGCAACGCCCAGGTAAGCCAGCTACATACAGGGACCCAGAGGGCTGGAGTGCACCACCTAGCCGCCAGGTGTCTCCTGTGTAGTCAGTATGAGTGCTCTTGTTTCACACCGACACCAGGGGATGTGATGAGGGTGGTGTTTGTCTTAGTGGTTCCTTTGGGTTGGGGGCCCATCCCTGATCCACATTCCAGGTGCCTAACTTGCTTAACTGACTTCATAGAGAGATGTCTTCAACCAGCTGCTGATTCATTCGGCCATCAACTGCACCTCCAGCGTCCATAAGAATGTGGCCCGGTGAGCACTTGGCCCTTCCTACAGCCAGGCATGGGCTAGTCCCCTACACATGATTTCCCTATGCCTGCACCTGCCTTGACATGTGTAATTCTGCTTTGGGGGTTCAAAAAGCAGGAGGCAAACTGGGCATTTGGTTCTCTTTATTTAGCAGGCTCAACTTGAGAAAGGGGGAACGGTCTTTTGCCCAGCCTCCTGCCTCCCCAGCTTACTTCTCATTTTAGCAATGCTGAATTACACAGACAGCTAGTACACCTGCTCTCAGGTCCTTGCATGTGCTTTGCCCTCTGCCTGGGACACCCTGTCCCTTTTTTTCTCTGCTCTTTTAGGCCTCAGCTTCTTGTATTTTACTTTCCTGTGTTGGGTGTGGGACACAGCACTGAGTGGGTGAATATGTGGATCCTATGTGTGTGTGGAGGGGAACACTTCATCACAAAAAATATATGGACAGTCACATAAATATATTTGTGAGGAGAGGATGATGGTGGATCTGGTGAGGGGGTGGAGGAGCATAGAGGTGTCCCGTGGAGATGTGGAGGGAGACTAAATGCCCAATGCGCTTAGCCAGTGGGCCTGGTTAGGAGAGAAAGCCATAGACCTAGAAGCTGGGGTGGGGGGTCTGGGACACCCAGTAGAGGAATTCCTATAGCCCTAACCATTTATCCTTCCTTCCCCTGACTCACCACCCACCCTGCCAAGGAGAGGGGCCTTGGGACCCTGTCCTTTGAGGAGAGGTCTAGGCAGGTCCCCTGGTCTTTGGGCCAGACCTTCAGCAGTGCAGGTAATGGCTGGGAACATTTGAACTACTTTGAACTTAGAAATGCCATGGACATGTTCTTGTTTTTGCCATTCCATATCCAGATACAGAAAGCCACACATGATGCTGTAGTGGTTGAGCCCCTTGGGGGACCCGCTGTGGGTAAAAAGTGGGGCTTGTGGTACAGCTAGGAGGATGTGGGCTGTGTGGACAGAGGAGGGGGCTGAGGGTTGAGCTGAGGCAGATTCTAGGGTTCAGTGTGGCCCACACTGGAGTAGATGTGACACAGCTTATGTCCTACATAGGAGAAGTGAGGTAGTTCAAGGGAAAGAGGTGGCAAATCTGCCTGGGAAGACACTGCAGGGGTTGGGCATTCATTCCAAGTGCCCACCTCCCTTTGCAGTCCATCCCCTGCAGAGGCAAAAGCCATCTGCTGTGGTTTGGGATGGTTTGTGTATGACCCCCTTGGGTTTCATATGCTAGACATGTGTTCCCCAGTTTGGAATTGTTGAGAAGGGGAAGAGAGTTGAGAGAACTCCTGGAATGGAGTCCTGGGGCCGCACCCTCGAAGATATTAAAGTCATTCTCAAGGAACCCTAGTTAGTGCTCTCCAAGGAGAATGGTATAGAGCGAAGCCACTTGGTTTGCTCGACCTCATCTACATGCAGCCATTTGCCTTTCTGCCTCTCTTCCTTGTGCACCCATCCAAGCAGCCTCATCTGGAGCCAGATAGGGCCTCTGTCTTGGAATTCCAGTCTCTGAAACCTAGCTAAATAAAACCTTTAATTTTACAAAGTACCCAGCCTCAGATATTTTGTTAGAGCAGCAGAAAGTAGGCTGATAAATTTCTGCCCTGGCTGTGGTGTTGTCCCCTACCTGTGTACCAAGCCCAAGCCTCTTAACCTCACTCACGACCCACAGACCCACCATTGTTAATCTATTTCTATCTTAATGTCCTTGGGATGTTACCAAAACAAACCAAACACAGACATGGTGGTTCATTCACACACCAGACTCATCTTGTCTAGTAGTTCTCTGAAATGTCCTGCATCAGGACCCAGCAGGGTTCAGTTTCTGGTGTGCTCCTCTTCCTGGATTCAGAGCTTCTTGCTATGCCTTGCTTCCCCTGAGCACTTAGAGAGCAGATTCCTTTGTGTTTATTATAGGGACATGAATCCCATTGCAAGGGTCCTACCCAAAGGCCCTACCTCCTAAGTCATTCTGGTGGTGAGGGTGTCAAGAGTCAGCCACAGCAGGGGCTTTACCTCTGATGGATTCTGTTCTTACTTTCTTTAAATGAAAGCTTCCCTACACCTACCTATTCTTTCACTTGGTTTTCCTGGACTCATCTTACATGTGCTTCCTGCCACACACCATGTGTCTTGTCCCTCTGGTTCTCAGCATTAGACTGTGACAGTGGCATGAGCTACGAGGTCTTGAGCCATGGCTTCCCCTGAGACAGGCAAAGCCACAATGGCAGCCCTACACTGGAGTCCTTACCTCTAGTGTTTGTCTCTAAGGCAGAATCAAAGTATTATCCAGCTGGCTGTACCCATTTGCTCCTGCCAGTCATGCTCCCACATCCTTCTAGAAGGTTCTATAACAAAAAACTCTGTTTTTCCACAGGAGCCTTCTGATGGAGCGCGATGCCTTGAAACCCAACTCACCCCTGACTGAGCGGCTCATCCGCAAGGCAGCCACTGTCCATCTTATGCAGTGACCCAAGCCAGGTTCTTGGCCTACAGCTCAGCACTGACCTCCTAGTATTAGGTTGACTACCTGGTTGGATTAGAGTTAGGAAACAGCTGGTGTGCTTGTCAGATGATAAAGTAGAGTTCTCCAGATCAGTAGTTTGGTAGAAATAGGGGACACACGTTAATTTTGAATGATATTCAGAATTCCTCTCAGGTCCAATATGTATATTTTTTTTGTTTGATTTTCAAGACAGGGTTTCTCTGTGGCTTTGGATCCTGTCCGGGCACTCGTTCTAGAGACCAGGCTGGCCTCAAACTCACAGAGATCCACCTGCCTCTGTTCCCGAGTGCTGGGATTAAAGGTGTGTGCCACCAACGCCTGGCTCCAACATGCATTTTTAAGCCTCCAAAACCAAAGCAGTGCTATTATTTGCAGATGCCTCGAACATTGAGTTTTCTTGTTCTATTGCTGGCCAGCAGGGTAGACATGTGGCCACCATCTCCAAAGATGAGGGGGAAGGATGGTTTGTGGGGGATTTTGTGGTGCCACCTGGAGCTTCTCTGTAAACTGCTTATGGGAGGGAAGCTTGAGGGATGGGGCTCTGAGTCTGCTCTTCTGAGTGAGTCTGAGACCTGAGCTCAGAGCTGCTCTTCTGTGACAAATAACCACAACACTGACATGGCTGCCACGAGATTAAATGCATCTCCTGCTTCAGTGACAGGACATCTGTCCTGGGAGTGCAGGTGCAGTCTTGTTGCTGTCCTTTGGAAGGGGAGGTACAAATGCAAAGATGCTCCTCAGGTTCCTTCACTTCCCACTAAGTGTGGACTAATGGGCAGGTCTCCCAGGGGGACATGGAGGTCCGCAAACCTGCTGAGCTTTGTTCTGTTGGCTCAGGCCTGGACAGATTCTGGGCATTAAAATAATTTAATGGGTTCCTTTGACCACTCACTCCTATTGGGCACCTTTGAGCATCTCCTAGATGCCAGGTTTGGGTTGGGTCCTGGGAAGATGGGCTTCTCCTCTAATTTTCAGTGGATGGGGCAGCAAGTCAAGAAATTGTGTAATTGTCATAAGATTTTAAGAGGTACTGTCTCTACCCAGGAGCCTAGGACAGGTGCCAAGGGGGGGAGCCTCTTCATGATTTTTGTTTTGTTTTTTTCCCCGAGACAGGGTTTCTTTGTGTAGCTTTGTAGAACAGGCTGGCCTCAAACTCACAGAGATCTGCCTGCCTCTGCCTCCTGAGTGCTGGGATTGAAGGCGTGCGCCACCACCTCCCAGCTCATGATTCTTTTTTAACCTTATTCCAAATAACTCATGCTTTACCTGGGAAGCAGGAGCCTTGCTCCCTCTTTCAGGAAGCCTTCCACCCTACCTACAGGCTGGTGACAGTGCCTTCTCTTTGCTCTGCAGCCCTCGGCACCTGCCTTTGCTATTGCACCACTTTCTGCTATGATTTCTTTCTGGTCAGAAGTGTGAGCTCTGTATCACCCAGCCACTCAGTGGCTACCACTGAATACCTGCCTGTAAAAACTGGTGTGAAGGCTTTAATGGAGGAGGGCATGACTCTACCAGGGACAGACCACTGATAGAGACAGAGAGAGAGGGAGAGAGAGAGAGTGTAGATGGCTCTGGCTCCATGGTTAAGAGCACTTGCTGCTCTTCTAGGGGATCAGAGTTCAGTTCCCAGCACCCATGTGGCAGCTCACAACTACCTGTAACTCTAGCCTCAGGAGGTCTGACACCCTCTTCTGGCCTCTGTAGGCACCTGCATACATGTACATATTCTCATTGACAAAAGGGGAATAAAAGTATATTTTAAAAGCCAAGAGAAAATGTAAATAGTGAATTATTAATTTAGAGGTATGCTTTACTGAACATCTACTATGAATTGATATGATACGAAGAGAAGTGTTGGTGAACTTGCAGATGCTGGATCTAACACTTCAGCAGGCACAGGAGTGGGGTGGGGCCAAGAGCTCTTGAGGCTTGGACCAAGGATGTAATTGGCGCGGTGGTTCTGCCCCTCCTCTTGGGCCTGAGTTAGGAAAGCCAGTCTCTTACAATTCCAGATATAGTGCAGGTCACACTGAACTAGTCACTACCCCTGGCAGGTGGGAATGCTTGGACCCAACAAAACCAGCTAGCCCACTGGTGAGCAAAACCTGCATAGAAGACAACCAAACTTGATGACCTCCTTGAGCCTCCCTCTATCCAGGCCACCCCTGGACTTCCTTTAGTCAACAGACCTTGCAGCCAGCTTTCTGTTAATTGCTACCCAAAGGCTCCTGGTACTGGCCTCTAGGCAGTGCTGTGGCTGGCTGTCAGCACCACACTTCTCCAGTTTAAGGAAACCCGGAGCCCAAGATCAGACAATGGGGTGGGGTGGTGGGGTAATGGCAGGTTGGGCATTAACAGAGCACAGGAGCACGCCTCAGGCTGTAGAGTTCCCGGACGCAAGAGAACTATCAGGGATGCCAAGACAAGCACCAAAGAGAGTAGCGGTCAGGGAAAACCCCTTCCTACCTGCCTGACCAACCTCCATACCCTACCCTCACCGCCCCAGCCTCGTAGCTAGCACAGCCACAGGCGGAACTCAAGTACGGTCCGGGTGTGTCCTGGGGAGGAGACTCACGCACACTTCCGGTGGGAGTATCCGGCGCTGAGCAGAGCCAATCCGGGACATAGAGTCCCTGTGAGTGCGCATTAGTCGCGCACATCAGCACTCTGACTACAATTCCCAAGGTGCATCGAGAGCATCTCCCTGTTCAAACCGGCCAATCGGCGGCCGGCAAAGGCCGGCGCCGCATTTAAATCCGTGGCTGAATACCAGCTGGGTTTTCGGCTCTCCAAGTGAAAGGCTAATTATTCCGAGAGGTAAGGAGCGGTCCTGGGGTGGGAGAGAGTGGGGAACCCAGTCTCATGCCACAGAGACGGAGGGGAATGGGCTCCCGGGCCTGCTCTGTAGCTCAGAGCCGGGAATCCGTTACCCCGCCTCGGGCGCACTGTCTCTGGGAGACAGGGAGCAAGCTGGGACTTGCCTCTGACATGCTCTCACCCTCTGGTCCCCCTGCTTCCTGCAGTGAACTTTATGGAAGGAGGAGACGGCTGCGACGTGCCTTCATCCATCCAGGCGAGAGGGGTGAAGATGGATACTGGTAGTAAGAAGGAAGGTAGGTCATTTCTGTTCCTGCGACTGTTCCAGGACTGTATTCCTAATCACTCCAAATAGTATAGAGGACGACCACGAGTCTGGCTTGGTAAGCTAATGAATTTAACTGGAGTTAATTACAAGGACATTAGCAACTTAAAGCTACACCACCAAAGAAGAGGCTCACCCCTCCCCCAGCAATCGTAAACCATTTACATATCATCCGAGGGCTCTCTCCTCACTTCCAGAAGGGCATTCCTGGGCTCAATCTTGTGAGTCTCCAGTGGGCAATCACAGTTGTTGTGATAGCAAAATGGCAACAGCTTCCTTATGCACAGAAGACAGAGTACACACCACCCCTTCCTCTTTCTTTTTCATGCCTTCTTTTCTCCTCCTCCTCCACCTTCCTTTCTTTTTTCTTTTCTTTTTTTTTTTTTTTGGAGATAGAATCTCACTTTGTAGCCTGGAACTCACTATATATATAGTTCAAAGCCTGTCTGGCTTTGAACACAGAGATCAGATTCTTTCTTTGAAAAGAAATCCTTGCTGGGTGGTGGTAGTGCACGCCCACTGGGGAGGCAGAGGCAGGCGGATCTTTGAGTTCGAGGCCAGCCTGGTCTATAGAGAAACCCTGTTTCACGAGAGAGAGAGATTGAAAAAAAGTCTTTATATTTATTAATTTTTGGAGGAGGGTACCATGGTGCACATGCCCCTGTGGAGGTTCAGAAAACCACTTGCACAAAAGAACTTTCCTTTTGTCTTGTGAGTCCCAGGGCTTTGAACTCAAGCCATCAGACTCGATGGACAGTAACTTTGCTCCCTGAGTCGTGGAGGGCAGGTTTACAATTGTTTCTTCCTTTTAGGGCTGATCACTGAGTCTCTGTGTCCTATCAGGTTTTATACCCTCTTCACTGTGACCCCTATGGGCCTGCTTCATACAATAACTGATGCCCACTACAAGAAACTTCCCCCTACCATGGCTAGCAGCACAGTAATCTATGGGCTTAAACATAAATGTTTAGGAGACAACTTACCTGGCACATCATGTCCGTTTAGCAAAACAACAGCAGCAGAGTCCCCACTGGAGCCTTATGTTGGCTCTCAGCTATAGGTTTTTGTTTTGATTTATAGTACCACACATAGGTTCCCTGTAGTAGAGCAGATCTTAAATACAATTGGGAAGTTGCTGGTCTGTTAGAGGGAGCCAAACAAATAAATATTTGGGCCAACCAAGGCTATGCTAGGAATATGGACTTGATGGAGGGCATAGTGACCCAGGAAGGGATCCAAGGAGCAGCTACTTACTGAGTCTCTACTGTGAATTTGACTCACCCTTGAACTCATTGTTGACGGATGGATAGGTGTCTCATAATTTAAATCTGGGGGTCTTTAGAAAATGTCCTGTGCCCAAAGGTGGCCTAGGCCTCTTGGAAACCCTTAGAACTATCTATGCATATGTATAGATTCTACACAAAAGCAAGGTTCTGTGCTTTTGGGTTGGGTCAGCACACTCAGAATGGCTCCTGGAACTTGAGAGAGAAAATGGAAACTAAGATAGACGTGAATTCCCCATGAATTAATCAAAGCAATAATTTATTTCTTTTCTCAAAGTGAAACTATAGCAACTATGAAACCAACAGGCACTGGCAATGTTTCCCTTTTGTATCCTAGCCCTAAAATAACAGTGGACTTTTCCTTCCACCTCCTAGACATTCTTCTTTTGGAAGATGAAAAATTTGACTTCGATCTTTCCTTGTCTTCTTCAAGGTAAACAAATGCATTTTCTTCCCTTCCTCAGGCAGACACATTCATTAAAGCCCTTCATCTGGATGCCAGTGTGACTCATCACTGATAATCCTTTTCTTTAAATACAGTGCAAATGAAGATGATGAAGTCTTTTTTGGACCTGTTGGACATAAAGAAAGATGCATTGCTGCCAGCTTGGACTTAAGCGGTCCAGTTCCTGGGCAGACTTTTACCCCAGCCTCTGGCAGCCCTTGTACCTGGAGTCCTCTCACCGGGGAGAAGTTTGTAGAGGTGTACAAAGAAGCCCACTTACTGGCCTTACAGATAGAAAGTCACAGCCGAAGAGAGGTGGCCCAGGCTGCCAAACCCCAAAATCCTGTGAACCAGGGCATGGAAAGATTTGTGCAGGACTCACAGTTAAAAATCAGCCTCTTTGAAAAAGAACAGAAGAGGGAGAAAAGCCCCATGTCACTTAAAAGAGAGACATTCTGCCTGCCATCTTCAGGGGGACAGCCTCTCTTGGGGGAGCCCCAGCCGCTGACTTCTCCAGCCATGCTTAGTTCCCCTATCCCAACTGGCCCTGTTCAGACCCAGAGCAACCAGGCTCTGCCCTGCTCCTCTCAGTCACTGCCAGGGGAGTCAAGGACCTCTCAACCTCCAAATCAGGCTGGGCCACAGAGGAGGACCACCAGCAAGCTACAGCCACCCCGAGCTTTGCCGGTGAGAGGAAGACATCTTCACCTGGCCACAGAGAAGGTAAACAAAGCACATGGCAACAGCCTGGGGGACACAACCCCCCTGCCTCTTCTCAGCTCATGCCCTGCCATAGAAGCACTCATGGAAGGGTCTACTGTTCTAAGGACTGGACAGCCCAGGAGTAGTGCCAGGATGTGAACAATGAAGGGAAGAGTGATGGGGAGCTGCCCAGCGTGAGCCCCTTTGATGAACACTCTCTGCCAAGTTGGGCTCTAGTTCTCTGTGGCTTTGACTATATGCTTCTCTCTCTCCAGGGATTGCGTGAGTGAGCTGTCAGGGAAGTGGTACTTGAATGTTTGCAGTTGACCAGCTGTGGAAAACTCAGGGTCCTGGAGGCTCAGTTGGGGTAGGCAGAAGGGCTGATGGCAGATAGCTTTCTTCCAGGTTTCCTTGCTCTGTTCTTGCTCAGGAGAGGAGGCTCCTGAGAAGAGATGAGGGGTCGAGGTGTGCTAGGGGGTGGCATTTTGCTAGGGTGGCATTTGTCATGATGTCCTGTACCAGCTCTAAGGTATAGAGGGTTGCAGTAAAAGGAATGGCTCTGTGAGGTTGCAGAAGGGTGAAGCCCTACACACTTCTTTCCCCATCTGTAAGCCCTCCCCTGATGATATCTGCTCCCCCAGAGACCAGGATGCTCTGGGTGGGATCTACTAGTAGTACACATGGACATAGCGCAGGATTTGTGTGTGGTCATGCATGGCAGTGGGGCAGGGCTGGTGTCACAGCACATGCAGGATACCAGGCATGTGGCCCACATCAGCTCAACACAGGTATTCACAGCAATAGCAGCATTCATGACTGCCAGCAGATTGAGCCAACCAGATGTCTATTAACTGATGAACAGATAAAATGGCGGCACATCCAAATAATGGGATAGTTTTTTAGTAAAAAGTGAGGTATCACAGTATGTCTTCAAGGCAGTGAGCTTTATGCTCATGAAGTGCTAAAGGGAGGCATTACTGTTACACTGAAGCTGTGCTTTCCTGACACCCTTGCTGCTTATGTGCACATAGAACAGCTCCCTGATGCCCTTGTCCCTGATCTATCAGGAATTTGCTCTT